TCAGGAGCCAGGCAGAAGGAGAAATCCCACACAAGACAGGCTCTAGAGCAATGTGGATATCCTAACTGGGCCTTCCTGAAAGCAGAGAAGAAACCCAAACAGGACCCCAGTCAGCCAACAGGTGAAAAGGAGGAACCCAGACCCAGACCAGTGGTCATTCCATATGTTGAGGGAGTATCAGAGAAACTGAGACGTTTATTTTCTAAACATAACGTCCCAGTGGCTTTTAAACCCCAAAATACATTACGGCAAAGACTGGTTCTTCCCAAAGATCCAGTCGCCCGGCACAAACAGAGTAATGTTGTGTATGCTGTTCAGTGTCAGGAGGGTGATCAGTCTTACATCGGGGAAACAAAACAGCCACTGGCCAAAAGGATGGCCCAGCACAGAAGATCAACATCATCAGGCCAGGACTCTGAGGTCTACACTCATCTCCAGGCCAGCGGTCACTCTTTCAGGGATGAAGATGTTCACATCCTGGACAGAGAGGAACGATGGTTTGAGAGAGGAGTAAAGGAGGCCATCTTTGTGAAAAGAAACCGTCCATCATTAAACAGGGGCGGAGCCTCCAGGTTCAACTGTCCCCCTCTTACAATGCTGTGATTGCTAGTATCACTCAACCCCCTGTGAACAGTAAACAGCCATCAGGTGCTAATGATCCATTGTTAGGCTGATGGTCCTTCTTGAGCATGTGATCAGCTGGTTCTGGTTGTCAGCAGCAAACTGGTTGATCCACTCTGAGAAGGTGCTATTTAAGAGACTGAGCTGAATACAGCTCCTCAGATTGAGGAAGTCTCTTGGATGAGAGACGAAACGTTTCTACATTTTTGTTGTTGTTTTGCTTTGTTTTGTTTTTTTGAATGTCCAGAGGACCAGATTTAACTTTTTTAGATTTTTCTACCTGGATTATTGAGCATGCATCAGGATCTTTTGAGTAGAAGCTGCAAATGTTTTCTCAAACCACTCCTTAAAAGTTTCTAAGTTAGACCCTGGTGTTCTGTAGATGCAGCTTATAATTACATTGTTTTTCTTCTCCATATAATTTTCTACTGTTATACATTCAAATATATCGTTCATCACTCTTGTCATTTTTTCTACCACTCTATACTTCAGGTTCATGTCCACATATACAGATACCCCTCCACCAGTCTTCCCCTCTCTGTTTGTATAATTAAATTCATGTCCATCCAGTTCAAGATCAGCTTCCTTCTCAGTGCTGATCCACATTTCAGAAATGGAAATAATACTGAATGTTTGACTGTAAAGTTTGCAGATGATACAGCGGTGGTGGGATGCATCACAAACAATGATGAGTCCAGCTACAGGCAGGAGGTGGAACACCTGGAGAGCTGGTGCAAAGAGAATAACCTTCACATCAATGTGAAGAAGACAAAGGAGATGATTGTGGACTTCAGAAGGAACAAAAACATCTACACCCCCCTGAACATAAGAGGATCTGCAGTGGAAGTGGTCTCCAGCTACAAGTACTTGGGTGTACACATGAACAACAACCTCAGCTGGGGCAACAACACCACCAGCCTGATGAAGGAAGCTCATCAGAGACTCTACTGGCTTATTTGCAGCGCCCCTAATCAGCCCCAGCTCTGCACAGCCCGCCACAGAAAGAACCTTTTGCGCCAGCCCTTTAGTATTTTTAGCTGATTTGTGTCTGATTCAGGAACTCTTTTCGTCCCTGCTTCTCTGGTGGGACTGAGCGAACTCAGCCGAGCTGAGTCCCAACCAAATGTGAATGCAGGACTCTGATTGGTCAGGGGGAGGAGTCACTGGTCAGGGGGAGGAGTCACTGGATCTCATAAACTTTTCACTGAGCCGCCATTTGCAATTTCTCTGGATGCAGAGCAGCGGCTGGATCTATTTTTAAGATTTTAAAAACAATGAAAACGCCGTGTTTAATTCTGAAGTCCAGGCGTTTTTTGTGTTTGGTGACCGATGATAAAATGCGAACGAGCGGTGTCACCGCGGAGGATCATACGAGCTGCTCACAAAGGCCGGATTCGAGCCCTGGCAGGCGGGAGGACCGGAAGTCTGGGACTGAGGGTGGAAACTTAAAAAAAAAAAACATTTTATGTATAAAAAAACGTGTTTTTTTTTATCAGTGAAGAATAAAAATAAATAAACAGTGTTGGCTTTTTCATGAAATCCTGTTTACACTTAAATGACTTTATTAAATAATCGGTTAAATAAAGTTAACTCAGCTGAAAAATCATAAAAAGACAAAATTAACTAACCCTAACCCAAAATTCAGGTCTCTCTTGTAGATGAGTCCTCAAAGCTCAATGGGATTTACCGTCTAAATAAAGGGTGAACGAATAAAAAGACAAAATTATTGGATCTCTGAATATTTATCTCAAACATGTTTAAAGAAGAGACAGCCTTTAGTTCAACTTTATTCTAAACCACACATGTACAAATCACTAAACAAGAATTAAACTTTAAATTAAAGCTAAAATAAAATAATCTGCATACAAGAAACAAAACCACAATGTGTGAAAATACATCAAATGATGAAGAAAAATATAAAATTTTAAATATAAACATTTTTGTAGAATCTGGTTCATCAGATTTAATTCAGTTCAGTTTATTTCTAAAGCGCCAAGTCACAACAGAAGTCATGTCGGGGCACTGAACAGAAAAATTCATATATATAAAAATAATAATTTAACATTATTTATCTGAGGAGCAGACTGCTTTGAGATTAACTCTTCGCAGAACTCTCAGCAGGACTTGGGTTCTGGACACGCCTCCAGAATCGGTCCTAAAGTGCAGATGCAAATCCAGGCTGAGCTGAGCAGAGTTGGGCTGATTGGGAGCAGTGCAAAAAGCCATACTTCCTCAGGCAGCTGAGACGAGCTGGTCTGTGAAGCTCAGTCCTCACCTCCTTCTACAGGTGTGCAGTGGAGAGCATCCTGTGCTCCAGCATCAACGTGTGGCATGGAGGCTGCACAGCTGCAGAAAGAAAAGCTTTGCAGAGAGTGGTGAAGGCTGCACAGAAGATGTTGGAGTCAGTCTCCCCACCATCACAGACATCTACACCTCCAGACGCAGAAAGGGGGCCACCTGCATCATGAAGGACCTCACTCACCCAGCACACACACTTTTTGCCCCACTCCCCTCAGGAAGGAGGTTGAGGAGCATTAAGTGTAGAACCACTAGACTGAGGAACAGCTTCTACCCTGAGGCTGTTAGACTCATGAATCTTGTATTATGAAATTCTTTATCAAAGGGTTCGTGAGCGATCGGCACCAGATATTCAGACAAGAGGAAAATGAAACACAAGGGACTGTAACTTGCTAGAATAATATTGTCATTTATTAATCTGCCACAAGAAAACAGCCAAGCAAAGTCATGTACACTCGTACACTCTTAACACACAAATTGATATGAGTATCTCTCACCGTGACAAGTGACCGGGAAGCCTTTCGATCCAATGACAGAACTCGCATCACAACTGCATGGCACCGCGCGCTGGTCCACACAAGACTTCCACCTTGTCACAGTATTTGTGCTCCTTAAATATTCCTTCCCGACCGAATCGCGTGAGAGTAGATGAAAACAAGTTTGATGGTTACCAGAACAACGGATGAGGAGCTGGTGATTTATTACCAGTAAGGAGCATCGTGACCGCAAAGCGGGCCAAGACTTCGCTGCCAGAAACACTCCTTAAGCTTAACAAAGCATTCCTAAAGAGAAAACACTGCACCCCTCCGTCCCTCTGCAAACCATCAAAGAGTGTCCCAAATATTAATAAAGGCAACATAAATCATTCCACCCTTTGCCTTTATGACATGTAAAACAAAATACAATCCCTAATATGTGAACAACACGTTGTATAAGTGTGTTTTCAAACTACATGTAAATGAGTGTAAAATAAGTATAAATTGACATAAAAGCATCAAAATAATCATTCCTATATCATTCCACCCTTGCCTTTTATGGCAATTTAGACATTTAATTCTGAAAAGTAACACACACAAAATGTATATGTTTGAATAGGCATAAAGGCAACTTAATATATTTTTATAAAACATATTTTTATATCATATCTCTAACCAGAATAATCACTGTGAAAAATCACATGTTGCTGCTGATCTGTCTCATGTTGCTGCTGATCTGTCTCATGTTGAGGTGTTCATGCATGCTCATCTGCTCACACAGACTCATGTTCGTGCTGCTGTTCGACAATGTTTTTATGTTATGAGTGCTTAGTGTATATTTAGTTGTTTTTCTTAGTTCATATCTTAGATGTTATTACTGTTTTTCTTATACATTTTATTGTTGCATGTTACTGGAACCCAGTGTACACAATCTCGTTCCACCACATGTACCACATGAGGTGTGAATGATAAATAAATGTCTGTGACTCTGACTCTGAACCGGCTCAAATACTTGATTTTGTTAAAGTTTGTGTACGTGCTTCTGCTATTGAAATGTATAATAGAGAGATTACTGTCAGCTTGTACTGTCCCTCTGAATAGCAGCAGTTGTTTGTTCATAGTAGAAGTTATTATCCAGGTCAACGTCATCCTCCATGTCCTGACATTTGTACTCCGTCTAATTAAATGATTAATTCTATTTTATCGCAATTGACAGCCATAAAGATGATCTTCTGTCAACTGGTGCTACTGAATAATTACTAGGACTAAATGTCATTCTGATGGTAAGGAATTCGTGTTGCCTTCAGTCCATTTGGTAATCGGTTAAATCTCTCAAGCTCTTCAATATCTCTGATGACCAATACCTTTGCGTCCTCTGGTGTTTAATGAAGATCTTGCAACTTGAAGTCCATGTAGCCTGGATCTTCCCTTGCTTCTTCAGGAACCGGGCTTTCCTGGCGATGTTCGCGTTCCTTTTAGTCAGATGTTCGTTGATGTAAACGTCTGACCCTCACAGCTTCTTCCCTTGTTTTAGCAACTCTGCTTTATGTTTGCTGCTGCTCCTGGGCAGCAGATGACAGGCTTCAATGGTGTTCTTGTCAACTTCTAGTCCCTTTCTACCTCCGCTGTGTCCGCCCGTGCGTACGAGTGAGGTTTAACACGCAGGCCGGTGAAGATCACATTGTTGTGCCTCGTGTACTGCTCCAATTCCAACACTTGGTTGTCCAGGAATGTTATGCGCTTGTCTTTTTCAGCGTTCTGAAGTTTCATTAATCTAACCTCATCAACTAAGTCCAAGATCATTTTCTGCTGGAGCCTGACAGCAGAGACCTCCTCTGACAGGAAGTCACGCGCTTTTTTAATGTCCAAATCCTCCATCTCCTGATTCTTTTTTGATCCCATCTTGAACACTTTTCACATATTCACCAATGATTATTAACGGACGGCATAAATATCGTTCCCTTTGCTCAGCTGCCAACACACTTCAACATGCTGCACGCTTCACTTGCTGCTGCCACGTCTCAGTAAATATTCATCATTACAAGCTATCGTAGATTCATGTGATGTTTCTGTCAGGGATTGTTACATGCTCACCCTTTTCCACCTAGTTTCTCTGTTTGTGTTTCAGCTTTACCAGCAGGGGCGGCTTTGCCAGCTGGGAGGGGAGTTCTGTGAGCTGGAGGTGTTTGCTAAAGTGTTGAGAGCCTCAGACAAAAGGTAAGAATGTAATAAATATTTGCAGTGTTGGTAAGCACGCACATTACTCTGTGAAAGCTTTATTGATCAAACGTTTAAACTAGGACTAAAGTCGTCATAATCACTAACTATAAGTGTTTCTAAGTTATTTTTAATCATTTTAGAACTTCTATGTTCAGTTGTTTCAATGTAATTGATCAAGAAGTTTATTTGTGCTGCAGAGCTGTGTGAAAGGTTAACCCTTTGATGTCCTGCTGCACTTCTCTTATCTACAGTTTAAATTTAAATAACAATCTATGTTGCATGGATTGTTACTTTAAAATATTAAAGTATTTAAATTTAAATTCATTCAACCTTTATTTAGACAGTTAAATTGTTTATTTATGGAGGGAGATTGGGAGTAACAGGTGATAAGTGAGATTACAGCCTGGCACATGTCATGACAAACTTGACTGAACTTGAACTTGGACTACTGTATCACTACTTTGTGTTTTTTTCACTTACCATACCAATTTATTTATAGAGCACTTAAAACAGCAACAAGGCCAACCAAAGTGCTGTACAAAAGAACACAAACATGCACAGCAGACAGGAAAACATAAAATAGAAATACAGATACAAATAGCAGCAGAAGCTAACTAAAATGGCCAACAGAGTAGAGAACAGACCGGACCAAAACAAATCACATCGTGTTAAAGGCAAGAGAATAGAAGTGGGTCTTCAAGCGAGACTTAA